AGAGAGAGAGAGAGAGAGAGAGAGAGAGAGAGAGAGAGAGAGAGAGAGAGAGAGGCTACTTCGATCGATTAGTTAAAACTTTAAAAAAAAAATAAAAAAAATTAAGAGAACATTACCGATTAGTTAAAGAAAAAAAAGAAAAAAAAAAAAGGATGGAGAATACACTAGCCATTGTAGCCATTGTATTCAAAGGAAAAGGAGAAAAGACACTGCTGATGCAATCATATTTAAATGGTTAATAACTTAACAAGTTAATATATGATAGTGTGTGTTAATGATACTGTAACTGTGTAACACTCAATGACGATATTTCTGATAGCATATAATGACTGTAAATTGCAAATGAAGGTGGCGACTTACTTCCAACAGCAGCAGATTTTGTATGGTTCGTATCGTCCTTCTGTGGTCCTGATGGGCTGTCCTGCTTCTCATCCTCGTCCTCCTCTTGACCTGGGACCAAGGCAACCAATCAAAGAAACAAAAAAGCATACAGTGTCACCTGCACGAGTAGTAGAGTACAAATGTAGTGTAGAATCACTGTAGATAGATCATCGTGTTCAAACTCATCTTCCATGATTGGCTCCAAATAGACCCTCGTTTCCCTCTGAGGGGCCCGGAGGACTTTCAGGATACGTTTCCACCCCCAGTGAATACTCTGGTGGAGCTGAAATGGTTTGGTTGTGAAGGATAGGAAGGGGTCTGCTAGTAGTTCATATCAGAGCAGGCGGCCAGGGTTAGGCTGAAGAGGCAGGCACCTCCTCCATACTCTCATGTATTATCTGTATTCAATGTTTCCTGTAAGGGACGCTGGACCCGCTTCCGGGCGCCGGGTCCAGCAGGTGACGCCCCCCACCGGTAGACTGGACCCAGCCACAGGGCTGCCAGAGGTGTCTGCTCCTACCAGCACCGCTAGCAGCCCCTGGGGCTGCTGAAATAAAAAAAGAAGGAAGACAAAGTTGCATAGCAATCAGCAGATTCAGCCTCTTCAAAGACAAATTTAAAACAAAAACGCAAAAGCTAAATTATCTAAATTCTATGACATTGTCTTAACTTACACAGCCATTATCACCCACCATGGCCGGCCCAGGCCGGCGATTCAAAATGCTGTCCACAAGACAAGCCTCACACCACCCGTGTCTGACCAGGATCGTTTATTCTTCGCATTTGGATATATGTGCAGGGCCCTGCAGGCCACGGCCACTGTTGCAGTCTGTAAAAGGCCTGCCAGCTGGTCGACATCAGGGTCGTTGTCAAACACCCCAGGCTCGGCACGAAAGCCAGTCCTGCCTGCATTTAGTAATTTACTAAATTACTCGGGCGTCGCCACAAGCACTCTAGAAACTTATGTGTTTTTCTTTTCAGCACGGTTGTCACGGAGCAAAAAACGTTTTGTGAGCTGTTAGAGTGCGAGTTTGAGAACTGTTGTGACATGCTAAGATCGGTTCCACTTGACTAAGTGACAGGCCACGTAAACGTCGTAAGGGGTCCATGTATCGTCCTAAGGCAGATCGCCACATTGGCCCCAATTTTTGGAACATTTCGAATGTTAAACTTTATAACTTTGTACTAAAAAAAAAACTTGCATGCGGGAACTTCAAGGGTAATTACGCAACTTGTAATAGGGGCTTGGTTTTGTCAATTTTGCAAATTAGAATGCGCCTTAGCGAGCACGCTCCGGCTGGGTGACGTGTCGGGTCTGGGTTGCACGTGCGTTCGGTCGGTATCGATGGTTTGACCTGTTCGAGCTGCAACCTGGGTGAAATGCTGTTTTTCTTTGGGTACTTTGTGCGTCAATAACATGCAATGCCATGTAGATTAAACAAGTTATTTTTGGAACTCTTGCAGCATTTTGTGCGCATTTAGAAATTTTAACAACTGTTTCTGAATACTGGCTTTCTGCCGTTTTGCTGCCCTGCCTGACATGCCCCGCAACTGAACCCTGCTCCCTGTGTGTGTGGGCCTGCTTCTTGCACACCTTTTCCATGTGTGTCTCCCTCTTTGTCCTTCCTCCCCTCTTCTTGACTTCCATTGGCCAATTACAAATTTACAATGCATCTCAGATTGATGCATGGAGTGCGGCTAAGCCTCTCATGCCGCAATCTGGGTATGAAACTCATAAGGCACTTCCTGCCCTTCCTGCCCGGCCGTTTATCTCCTTCCTCGACTAATCTCCCTTCTTCCGCACATGCATCCCCGCAGCTTAGAGCCCGCAATCAGGTGGCCGTGGCAGCAAACCGCCCGGCCCAGCTGCACCCAACAGGCTTGCTTCAGGTGCAGTTCTCACAGAGGCAGACCTGGCTGGGCAGGCCAGGTGGTAGGATAGCCCAGTTACGGGTCATTGCTGGGTGGAAAATTCGTCGGGTGCCCGAACCAGACCTACTAAGAAAAAGAAGTGTTCTTGTCCAGGTTGAGTGGAAACCAGAATGATGATGGCCGGCGCTGGGGCATCGCCCTGTAACCTTCATAAGGAGCTTGAGGCCTTGGATAGAGATCTGGGGATTGCTGAGGGTGGAAGGCAATTACAATACTTTACGGAAGGCTACAACTTGAATCTGGCCGACTAGGGTGGCGCTGCCCTGTAACCTAGCTAGATTGGGGTGTGAGACGGGGTAGAGGCTAGGTTGGTATATAGTATTGACTCGGTAGAGACTGGCTGGTTAGTATGAATATCTGAGATTAGGGTTAGGGTAGTATGTGAGATCCGGGTAGATAAGCATTCTGAGTAGTCAGCATCAATCTCTGGCTTATTATCTCAATCATCCTGAACGTTCCTGAATCATCCCAAATTTTCATTAATCATCAATGTATGCCAATTATAAGGGACGCTGGGCCCGGTTCCCAGCACGTGTTGCTCCCCACGAATAGATTGGAGCAATTGTTAAAAAAAAAAAAAAAAAAAAAAAAAAACACTTCCATCGGACCCGAGGACGCCCCATGTCACTTGTATCACACACTACTAAAATTATATGTGGGATGCTCCTATCACCCGCAATAGTAACACGGGGCAATGTTTAAAAAAAAAAAAAAAAAAGAGGATAAAACTTCATAGAAGTTTGTCTTTTTTTTTCCTTTTCTTTTTTTTGTGTGTCTTTTGTAACTTGTCTTTTCGTGCTTTAGGCACCTCCCTTGGTTCTCTTTCATCCCCTTTTCATTCTCTCACTGTCTTGATTTTTTTCTTTTTTCTTTCTTTCCTACCTCCTTTTTTTTTCCGTAAGAGGGCGATGTCCTTTTGATATCGCGGCATTGAACAATAACGCGGGACATTCAGGAAGGTTTATCTTACCCTGAAATAATGGGGACCTTCGGTAAGGTTCTCTATATTCAGCTTAGGGATTTGAGCCCATATGCAACGGGTCTGTGGCCGAAAATATCGTCTGATATATGGGTCTGTGGCTGAAAGATTGACTGGTGTACTGTCTGTTATTTTTACTTTTTACCTTTTTCTTTATTTGTGCTGGTACTCGAACTTAGGTCGATTCCATGAGGTAAGGATATGTTGAAATTGAAAGTCGGTGGTACGAAGTCTGTTTATGATTGGGTCAATTCACGTTTGGCTGAAGTGCAGTCTAGTTCCTACTGATAGCTAGGCAAATACGCCGTTCTTGACGTAGAAGTTATCTGCGTCGACTCAAAGACCCCTGAAGAGTACTTGTGACGCCCAACCTCACGCCCAACGTGACTTCCTGAGTGGGATGTGGGCCTGGAAGTGCGAAAAGGGGCATGCCAAGGATTTTTGGGAAAGTGGGGGTGGAGTCCCAGGTCGGAACTGAGATCTCCTGTGGCAAAGTTTCAGGGGCATAGATGCAATGGGGCTAAGGGGGCGAGTTACTTCCGGTCTGTTGGCGTTCGATGTCGTGCAGCATAAGGCAGATGGCATGCGCGGTGCATTCAATGTCGTCCGATTCGTCTGTTTTGGGGGCGGTGGTTCGGGGAGAGGCCCGCCCGGGATAGTTGTGTTCCCGATGAGTCGGACCTTTGGGTGCAGGCGCGTGGCGTCTGTCGTCGCGCGTTTGGGTTAGGCCTCCTAGTTTCAGGGGTTCGTCGGTTGCCGCGTCGTCGGCAATTTCCGCGAGGCCTGCGGGGCCAGTACGGGGCGATGGAATTCCACGGAACCACCGTGAGTTGGTGATACGGGAGAAGGAGACGGAAGGGAGGGAAACGGGTAGTGATAACGACGAAGCCGGGGGATATGAAGTATTGCGTGTTGTCCGTAGTGGGAAAATCGGGACACCTGGGGTCGCTGGTTGTGGCACAGTGAAACTCCCGGGGGCACAATCGATTCTCGGTTAGGCAGGGGAATTCCGGGTATCTTTGCCTAATACATTCTCGCACCCAAGGGTCGAAGTACTCCGAGTCCCAGGAGCTCGGCATCTTATCATTGCGGTGAGATGGAATTTTTCCTCACGTGCCTAACCGGCAAGAGGATTTTCCGATGTGATATTCGGAACTTTTATCCATTTAGGTGCGTGGGGGAAGGAAAGTTCTCACCTACCCGATATCGAAGGTGTCAAGTTCGTCAATGGTCGCGAATCGGCGCGCATGGATACGTGTAGGCTACTTAGATCAGATCGCGATTACACGCATCCCCGCGAGGTATTTGCTTGTTTCTGGACAAACAACTACCCAATCATCTAATCACTCCGTGATCCCGTACGCAATCGTTTCTGAGCATGCAAGGTGCTATCACACGTCAGGCATCGCAGCAACAATAGTGGCTCAAAAAAGGATAACCGGCAAGAGAAGCAGTATTGATGACTTAGTCTACGCAAAAGTTCCTACTATGCTCATGAGTGTATCAAAAATGACAAGCAAAGGCAAGGACCACTGGACCAGGCAAAAGAAAAGCAACAGACATGACATTCGTTCATCCATTCATTCGACAAAACACACAACAAACGAGATCAAGATCAATCGCAAAACGAGTGTGGGCCGAAATCAAGCCAAGATTCCAAAAACAAAAGAAAACGGGCGAGTCGCCCGGAGCCGAGATCAAAATTTATATACAAAGGCAAAGAGGGAGAAAAGACAAAGAAAACTGCAAATCCACATCCATCAACCTCAACTCCCACTTCCTCTCTCTCTCTCTCTCTCCGATAAGGACAGTCCGTCGTCACGCACAACCCACGAAGTCGTCACCCCGCTTAGTCCTCCTGCACCCGTCAGGTTCGCCCGCGCGCTACAGTCCGTCGTAGCCCCACGCGTCAACCCCGCGCATTCGGCACCAGCTCGTCGGGTCGCCCGACTCCCACTTCAACTCACCTCTTACTTCGCTCGTGAGCCGACCCTCACTGATCGCGCTACCCCGAGCTTCCAACAGCTGGTTAAGAGAGCTATCTAATCACGCAGCCATAATTTATAGCGTGCATGCATGCGCAAAGAACACGGAATTGCAAGGACTTAGAAAGGAGATTAGGAGAAGGAGCGCCTACGTTCTGCATGGCCAGACCGCGGCGTGGGGGACGTAGCCACTCTCCATGCATCGATCCGATCATGCAGGCCGCGGGCTAACTAGGCACAGCAGAAGGGAAAGGGAGAGCGGGAAAGACGAAGCTCAAGAAGAAAGATACAGTTACAATGGCGCCCGCCCAAAAATTACAGTTACTTGCAAGATTAAGGGCGCCGACTAATCAGAGTTCCGTTGCAGCCGCAAAAAGAAGCGCGCAAGAAGGACAGCGCGCGGCAAAAGAAATCCTAAATTCCTAAATTCCAAGCTAATGCAAAAAGAAATACTAACTCCGAAAAGAAAATTCGAAGTTCCGAGAGCCGTCAAGGCTCGACAAGATTCAAAAGAAGAAAAAGGAAAATTCGAAAAGAATGAAGCGAAAATTCCCGCGCGATCTCCGTGCCTAAAATCCGACAACAGAACAGGAAAGAAGTGACGTCAACCATTATTAATCGCGCCTTGTCGGCGCGCCAGCCACTCAATCGGCCATCTCGGGACTTGCCCGGCCCTGAACCCAGCCGTCCGAAAAGAAATGACACAAAAAGACGAAAAAGCGAGGACACTGATTCAATTTCCCTTCGATCCCATCTCCCATAATTGGCCCAACCTTCCCATCTGAGGACCCCTCATTGTCATCGCGCAGAAAATCGCGCGGAACAGAAATTGGTTCGTCACATACTGGTCAGGCGGGCCAGTTGAAACTACAGGTAGTCGGGTCCTACCGCCTTGTCCTTCATTGTTACATTCTTTCTGAAGTCGCGTTCGGGGAAACTTTTTCAATCTGGCATATGTCTCTCTTCTTCTTCTTCTTCTTCTTCTTCTTCTTCTACTTCTTCTTCTTCTTCCTCCTCCTCCTCCTCCTCCTCCTCCTCCTCCTCTTCCTCTTCTTCTTCTTCTTCTTCTTCTTCTTCTTCTTCTTCCCCATTGGGGTGCGCCGGACGTGGAGGGTCGTACCCTGGTCGCTCTTTCATTAAACTCGTCTTCGCCACTTGTCTGGCAGTGGAATCCCCTTGCCCTGCAATGCTCGGTGCGGCGACAATTGCTGCAGAGAGTATAAAGCCAATGGGGTGCCACTGCCGCCCACATGACTATCAACTGGTTGAAGGGTAACAACAAAGAATAAGGCGGGAAATGAGTATCGACAATCACAAATCCAGCACCCACGAACGCAGAACATCTCGTTTCGGGAGGGAAGTAATATCGTCCTCCGATCTTTGCGACGGCTTCTCGTACGCCCCACTCGCATGGCCTTTCCTCGTTGTATGAGAACAGGCGCTGTGGGGAAACGGGAAGTCGGCGCCCTGTCGGATCGGTATCGTCGGTCCACATGGCATAATCGGGTAAGTGGCGTTTATCTACTCAATCCGTCATTCGATCTGATAAAAAATGCAAGTTTTAGCATTCATTGAGGGGACGGAGGAAGCAAAAGAAATAAACCTGAATAAATTCTACGTATACGGATAGGAACACCAAGTTCTTTTTTTTTTTTTTTTGCTTCCCTCCCGACTTGTTTTTATGCTCGGTTGAGTCCGCCCGGCGAAAGTTCGAGCATCAAAAATAAGTCATGACAGAAGATCACGCACACTTTGATCATAACCATATACACACACCATTCATTGCACAGAAGCGAAGAAAGAGGGAAACACATAGTACCATTCATCGCACATTTTGACGGAAGAAGCTTGCATGCATGGTGCCGATGCAGAAACGAAAAGGCACCGAAACAATTATGCATGAGGCCAATTACGAACGAAACCATCTCGTAAAACTAATTCAAGATTGAAAAATTCAAAAGCAATATCTGCGTGCGAATTCTGGCGCGTGAATTCGTACACCTATTCCTATTCCTACAGAAAATCCCTGGGGTTTTCCGGGACGATTTTGGGGACGCTCACGCACAAAAAGGACCCGTCACCGGGAAGTAAGCCCGCAAGTACCAAAAATTCCCAACTGTCAAACAAAATTCCTAGCGCATTCGCTAAGGCACGTGTAATTCCTACGTAAAGCTGAAGGAAAACAAAATTTCAAAAATCCGAAAAGCACTTCAAACTTCAAAGTATGGAGGCCCCGGTGGCCATTGATCCCATGCATTAGCCGTCGGTCAGAAAAGAAAATGAAGGTACCCCAAAAACCTGTTAATGGTCGAAACGAAAAGAGAAGCAGAACACAGCGCTTCAGAAGACCTAGTTCGTTCAAGCACAGAAGCTGGTAGGTAGTCACAGGGACCCCAACCCACTTAATAGCCTATTGGTTTGGTGTTTGCCTGACAAGCCATTGGTTGTGTGTTCGATTCTCAGATTGGACATGCAGGAGGCAACACAGGAAAGCGCCACTTACTCATGAAGAAGAAAGCCTTCGTGTGGTGATATATATATATCGTCACAAACAGAACTGCCCGGTAAAACCGTAGGCAGAGAGAGAGAAGAGGATATATATATATATATAATATATATCGTCACAAATAGAACTGCCCGGTAAACCGTAGGCAGAGAGAGAGAAGAGGACAACAAACGAGGAGTATATATATATATATATATATATATATATATATATATATATTTAAGTAATTATGAAACCATCCCATTCTGCCGGAAACCGGGTCCGGCGTCCCTTACATTTATGCCATGGTGTGTTGGGCTGGGCAAGGCACTCCCAGCCAAACCCATCCCTACCACAGCGAAAAAGCCTGTCTTGGGTGGTTTGTCAAAAAAGGAAACACCAACCTAGCGAAGTGAGCAATTACTCGATGTACTGCCCCCTGTAATATGGCTGTATCTTTCCTACTTTCCTATTTCTCAATTTGCCATTCAATGTGCCACCAACTACTAACTACCTACCCAAAGATTTACCTTGAAAAAGCACAAAAAGGCACAAAACCTACATGACTGTATTGTGCCATCAATAGTCTACTGCGTAATTCAGCAGTGCGCAGAGAAGAAAGTTTGACTCCCCCACAGTGATCAGGGTGGAGATCAAGTTCTCTATTGAACAGATGATTCCCACACAAAAGGAGAGATGACCAGTTGTTCCCAAAAAAAAAAAGAAAAAAAAGAAAAAAGAAAAAAGAAAAAAAAAGAGAGTAGGGGATGGAGCAGGGCAAGGAGTTGGGAGAGTGTCCTCTCACCTTGTACAACTGGATATTGCAATATTTCCAACATTGACCTGTTTCCATCTGCCCTCCCCCATCCGATAAGCCCGCGGTCGACTGCAGCCTTTATTGTCCAGCAAGTCAAGACTGTGAGAGTTACCCATACTTGGATCCAACATAGGTTCATGGTCGGCTCCCTCACGCTGCCTACTCCTCCAACCTTCCATCTCCATCTTCGAGGCCAGGACATGTCAGTGTGAGCTTGAGCGATACGGGATAACGACGATAACGATGATGCTGATGGCGATGACGACAAGGAGGATGATGGGCACGAAGATTCATCGACATGCTGATCGGAACACCGGCTGGGGTTGTTTGAAAGATCACTCGGCGCAGGAGTGGGAGGAAGAAGAAGAAGAGGAGGAGGAGGAGGAGGAGGAGGAGGTGATGATGACGATGATGGAGCAAGAATGATGCCGTCCCTCCAAAGCGCTTGCATCTGACTTCAGCTTCCAATACTCTCTCAGACTGGCTTTTCGGTTTTGTAACAGTCACCAACTCCAACAGTTAACCCATGCAGTCATCCGTTTGACCGCTGCAGTCATCCGTTTGATATAATTGCCAAGTCTTCAACTTTGCGTAACTCTCCAACAGTTACCGCAGTCATCGGTTTGATATAATTGCCAAATCTTCAACTTTGGGTAACTCTCCAACAGTTACCGCAGTCATCCGTTTGATATAATTGCCAAGTCTTCAACTTTGGGTAACTCTCCAACAGTTACCGCAGTCATCAATTTGATTAGCTACCGCAGTCATCAGGTTGGTATAATTGCCAAGTCTTCAACTTTGAATAACTCTCCACCAGTTACTGCAGTCATCAGTTTGATTAGTTACCGCAGTCATCAGTTTGATATAATTGCCAATTCTTCAACTTTGGGTAACTCCCAACTGTGGATAACTTCAGCTTTGGATAAATTCAGCTTTGGATGATTGACAAGAAAAGAAGGTGGGTGTCACCTGAGAGGGAAAAAAAAAAAAAAAAAAAAAAAAGGGTGCCACCTGAGAGGAGCAGGGAATGAAGGAGAACGGTACTTTAGTGTCCGTCTAGGAGATAGGGGTGTGTTGTTGCAGTGGGACAAACAATTAATAGTCGTTGTGTCTTGCTTAAGAATAGAGTCATTAGACCATTGTGCTGTGGTCGTGCATGCCACCATATTTGATTGGCTGATTGCTTGCCATGTCGTCTAATGGCTGATTGGCAACGAATCAACCAATCAATTGATTGATTGATTCGTTGGTTGATTGATTGATTGATTAATTGATTGGTTGCCACGTCGTTGAATGACTACCCCATCACATTGTACGTTCTCCCGAATAGATGAAGAGGGATCGAGAAAGGCAAGAGGACCTCGTTGCTGCCGTGGCACTGCGAGTCGTTGCGTTGATTTCGAATGCACAAAATCCTCCGCGCTGCGTCTGATCACCTATGATTCGTTGCCACGTCAGCTAATGGTCGCCAGGTTCCATGTTTTCTACTGGTCACCCCCCGCCACGTCATCTAGTGGTTGCCACGTGGTCTAATGGTTGCCACGTGTCATGTCATCTTATGGTTGCCACGTGCCACATCATCTCATGATTGCCACGTGCCACATCATCTACTGATGGTTGCCACTTGCCACGTCATTTAATGGTTGCCACGTGCCACGTCATTTGTTATTGGTTGCCCTGTGCCACGTCATCGACTGGTTGCCACGCTACAGAATCTGTCCACGAATAGATGAGGTTGGAGCCATTCCATTGATTGCTCTGATCATCATCACCGTCTGCTGCTGAGAGAAATGTAGGACACTGATCGAAGCCTACCCAGTACTTCCATCTCACGATGAAAAGAATAGGCTGTGATCAAGAGTGCCCATGTTTGACCACGTGTGACTATGTGTGACTATGTGTGACTATGTGTGACTAAGTGTGACCAGGTGCAACCAGGTGTGACCATGTATGATCATGTGTGGCCATGTGTGTCCGGGGCATTATAGCCCCCCGGTGAGACCATGTGTGACACCACCAGTGATCCAGTGACACTGCAACCACACCGGACCCTGTACCACCAGCTCATGTGAGACCATGTCATGACAGCCTAAGGCTTGCTCTTCAAGAATGTGTGTGACCACGCGTGACGACGTGGGACCATGGCCCCTCAGAGGGCCTCAGTGACCATGCCATTAAAGCCAATGTATGACGATGTGTGAGTCAGTGTGAGCATGTGTGACCGTGACATGAACACCTTGCTCTTCAAGAACGTGTGTGACCATGGGCGACCATGGCCTCTGTCTGCCAACGTTGGACCATGTGTGACCATGACATGACAGCCTTTGCCTTCAAGACCATGTGTGGGCGTGTGTGACCGAGTGTCACTAGATGTGACCATGCCCCCTGTCTGACCATGCCATTAGAGCCAATGTAGGACCATGTGTGACCGTGGCGTGACAGCCCTGGTCTTCAAGACCAGGTGTGGGCGTGTGTGACCATGCCATTGGAGCCAATGTGGGACCACGTCTGACCGTGGCATGACCGCCGCGCGGCTCCAAAACGTGTGTAACCATATATTTAAATAATATTTTTGCAATTTCCCTGTTGTTCACAAATTTCCGTGGACGCTGTCACATTCTCAGCATCGTTTTTCTTTGTGTGTTTGCTGCGGGCAATGACCTGCACAGTTACAGTCTGAGAACTCAGCGCGTTTCTGAGAAAAAAATACGTCAATTTTGATAGCATCGTTGGGAATTCAAATTCTGACTCTTTCTGACTCTGTTTGCCGTGTTATCTGAATATGAATGTGATCAGCCGTCCTCGTATGTATGTTGCGCACTTGCCGGCTGCTCCTTTCTCTCTCTATCTCTCTCTCTCTCTCTCTCTCTCTCTCTCACACACACACACACACACACACACACACACACACACACACACAGAGCTTACCACTTTGCTATTCTCCGAGAGAATGGGGGGATGTTGTGGCAGGCATAGAGTGACCAGAGACAGAGACAGAAAGACCGAGTGACAAAGTAAGAGAGTGACACAGAGTGAAAGGAGTGACAGATTTGACAGTGTGAACTAGTGATATTGTCAGAGTGGTAGTGAGTGACAATGACGGGGAGTGATAGTGATTGTGAGTGACAATGACTGGTAGTGATAGTGATTGTGAGTGACCATGACAGTCAATGTGACTCAGTGACAATGGAAGTAGGTGACAGTGAGTGACAGTGAGCAAGAGTGATGCACACCAACTTTGGCAAGCCACCCGATCAACACCAAGCTTCATCAGACCTAACGATACCAAGTCACATCAAAGCATATTGAGCCACATTGAGGTACAATCAATCAATGAAGCACGCTGAGAAAGTCATTTTTCTCTGGTCGGGCAGTTTGCAGGGTTAGTGTCAGTAAGCTCGCCCACTTTTCAAAAGAGCATGGCTGACTCCGGGCAGGGTGGTGAGTCACTGAGTCCTCTTTTCGATCAACCAAATGCATCCTGGGGAGACTGTCGACGTTCAACCTCCTGATGAGTCGGTGAAACTTCGGTGACAGTCTGGCGGAACTCTCTCCAACGGACAGTCTTTTCTTGGAGTTCCGTTTAGCAACTGTCCAACACAGACACACGCGTGCGCGCGCGCGCGCGCGGGTGTGTGTGTGTGTGTGTGTGTGTGTGTGTGTGTGTGTGTGTGTCAGTGTGTGTCAGTGTGTGTCAGTGTGTGTGTGTGTGTGTGTGTTGTCATATTCGCTATACACTCAAAAAAAGCATGACTGTACCAGACTGTGTGTGTGTGTGTGTGTGTGTGTGTGTGTGTGTGTGTGCCCATGTGTGTGTGTGTCCATGTGTCAGGGTGTGTGTGTGCCAGTGCGTGTGCGAGTCACTGTGGACCTCTGTGTTTTTTTCCCAACGGCTATGTCCACCTCTAAATGAAAGAGGAAAGGGGGGGGGGCGAGAAGAAGAAAGTCTGGGATTCTGGGAAAGACGATGCTGTGGCTAGCTGCGCTGCTCGTCAAACCTGGAAATGTCGAGCGCATTCTTCCGTTCAACCTGAGGACATTACGTGTAGTCATCATGATAGTGAGCCCGAAACGAGGCAAGGGTTTCTCATGCGACCGGGAGACTCCTAATGATACCCACGCATCCCATGAAACCACCCCCCCGGCCCCCGCACAACCCTTACCTTCCCCGCGTCCCCTCCCGCCCCTTTCCCCCGACTTCCCCCCCCTTTTACCCTTCCCCTCAGCGCCCCGTCCTTTCCCGCCCTGGCCCCTTCATCACTCCCCACTCCTACCTGCTATTGTGTCGTTCCCCCACCGCTGCCTTCTATTGTGTATGCGTGTTAATGTTATGTATGGGGCTACCGTCTTCACCCGAATAAACGCCCGGTAATTATGGCCGTATCTGGACTGAAAGTTGCGTCAAATACAACTGTAATGACCGGGCGTTCTATTCGGGTGCAGACGGTAGTGATAGGTAACTTAGTAAGGGTATCGTAAGTCAACCAGTTGTCATTGCTCGCCATCTGTTTTTTTTTTTTTCAACCAGTTGTCATTGCACGCCAACTGTTTTTTTTTTTTTTTTCTTTCACATTTGGCGAGTGGCGCAGAGAGTCCCGCTCGCTCTCTTTGTGTTTCCGCCTCACTGTCTGGTACTCGCTCTTCTCGAGGCAGAATAAGGGCGAGATCCCACTGGCAAAGAAGATTGGAATAAGCGTCTGAATCTGGACGTGTTTGTGGATAGGTGCAAAAGATTGTGGTTGATCTGCTTTTCTGCATCTCTGTTTGGAACACGTCCAGATTCAGAACACTTATTCCAATCCTCTTTGCCAGTGGGATCTGGCCCTAACAACCATTATACGGTGGATCAACTTGAAGAAACATAAATAAATGAATAATCTGAACAAATAAATGAGATATATTTGTGCCAGTCTCGTGAACACAGTTCTGGCTGCTACGGGGTTCCCCGTATGCCTACAATTAAGAGTAGTCGTAGGTAGGTAGTGTGAGGTGGAATTGAGAGAAGAGTATAGCTTTAATAAATAAATAAATAAAAATTAAAAAAATTAAAAAAATAATTAAAAAAATAA